TCGGCCTCATTTCTTGCTGGGTATAAAACTTTGATACCTTTGGGGAAAAGCCAAGTCACCTCCTATGTATATCCTTAGATTGACATCTCCTTGAATAGCTATCGTCAAAAGGAGAAAGCTACATGTACCTGGTCATCAATTTCCACTATACATTTAATCCTCCATTCAAATATTGATTGAAAGCAAAGCTGGATAGTTTCCTGTGGAGGTTTATTTGGCGAAAAGAAAACACCTGAACTCGGGCTCTTATGATATCAAGAATGCTCTGGAGACAGTCAGCTTATGCATTGGGAAAGCATTATTTTGTAGGTGTTGAACTTGCATTGCATAAATAGGAACCCACTTTATATGTGTACATCTGCTATTATAATTATTTGGGCAAAACTCAAAGAAATGAGTCATTCTATAAATTAGGTGTCTAATTTTTTTGTGTCCCTGTCACATCTGACTTATGATTTTGTAAGTTCAGAACACTTCTCTAATTTAGTTAGTTTAGTTTTGTTTCTATTTCTCTCTCTTGTGGCCAGAGGCCAAGTTACAGTGAAAAATCACACTTGATTTGAAGTAAACATTACAAACAAATAGAAATAGTTTTAAATCAAGAAAAATTTCCTCAAGTTGTCTATTGATATTTGCTCAAATGGAAATTGCGGCAATTGGGCGGGGTCAACTGTAAGCTTGAAAAATGGCCCCACAGCGGCAATATCGTGGTGGCTGGCACTGTTAATTGCCCGGACTAAAACCAAGTAGCATTTCCCAGGAGAGCACGCATGCATGCCTAGCTGTCATTTTGTTACCAAGTTAAAGTCATCCATTGTTTGTTTCTTGTTGTGTTTAGGCTGGTCAGAGCTTGCCGCCTCAATGCCATGATGCAGCCATGCCTGGACAAGTTGCATGCCTTGTGTGATTACACCGTATGACAGGGTAGCACATCCACCGAATGATGCCAGGAGCACCTGCAGCTGCAACTCCCCAGGTTGGGAAAAGAAATCCTCCCTGTCTCCACCAGATGTTGCTGAAATTGGCAGTCTAGATGTGGGCCCACTTTTTTTTACAATAGGTAGAATAATGCGTGTTTTTCTTCCTAGACATACTAGGAAAGGTGGTTGTGTTGGTCTTTTTAGCAGAACAAATTTCAAATGTCTTCCAACTCCCCATCTTTGAAATGTATTCTTCCTCTGAAAGTCTTGCTTCAAATGCTCATTCTAATCAGTCGATGTGAGCATGGCAGTACTAGGTCCTGTTTGTTTCACACTAGATCTGGATTTGGATCAGTGATCCCAAAGCTGGTTCACTCTGTCCATCAGCAGGTTCTGGTGGTGGCAGTGAACCAGTGTCAGCTCGCTGATGGCGATCCAAATTGCCTTGAAACAAAGAGGCCCCAAGTCCAACCAGTGGATTTATAGGTGTTTGATTATGGGTAGAAATCTGAGTTGTGGTTGGAGATCAACAGGCAAGTGAACTTCTGTTAGGGTCCTCTGTCGCAAACATAGTTTTCATGCATTACTTTTGGTCAAGCAGTGTGCCAAAACACACCTATTCAAAGGGGCATTACTGGTTCACACTGTAACCTAGAATTCAGTTGCTTGTCGTCAATGTGTATCTGTTGATGAATTTCGTGAAACATTCCAGAGAATGGGAGACTGAGACGCTTGGTGATGGCACACAAACCAGTCCTTTTAAACAATTGTGAGCGTGCTCAGAAGTACTGGGCATGCCCAGAACAGGCAGGAAGGACCAGTTTGTCTGTGTTCGCCAAGTGTCTCAAAGTCTCCCATTCCAGGATAAATTATGGGTTTTCCAAATGTTGAAATGGCTATGAAATTAAACTGTCATGTTGATCACATGTAGGATGTTGTTGTTCCAATGAATTTCAATCATTCCATTCTAAAAAGTTACGCTTTTTTGAACATACAAGGTGTGTACATATTCACTCCAATTAAAATTAATAAAAGTACGAGAAACTGAGTTATTGCTTTGTTATTGTTTTAAATTGTACATCAGACTAGTTTGTATACATGTGTGAATATTGTCAATTGTTAAGCAATAAGCCGCATGGTAACTTGGCATTTTAAAGCAATACGTGTAGAAAAACAAGACATGTTCTGGGTTCCTCAAACTTGAAACCTTTCCTTCCAAAACCCACAACCCTGAGCCAGACAGATTCGGCAGTTTTCAATCTCAAGAAAAAGAAGGTTTTGGGGGCTTTTTGTCCCTCCAAGCTGTTCAAACTCGAAAAACCTTGAAAATGTTTGATGCTTGGCCTCCTTGCCACACACATACAGGACAACGCAAAGGAAGGTTGCCACTGCGAATTGGGATGGGAAGGTTTGTGAAGAGAATTTGATCCAACATTTAAACTCGCATTTCACAAGGCTTGAAAATAATTTCCCACTTGTGAGTTAACCTGTGAAAATCTTGTCCAATCTTATTCGAGTTTTGTGAAATGAAAATGAACTCCTTGGTAAGAGGAAAAGCATGAGAAGAGTTTCCCATTCACAGGTTTACTTTCAACTGCAGTGTACTTTGTAAAAAGCCTTTTCCAATGATACTCTGTGGGGTTTGCTTAGCCTGTCAAAACCCTCCCTAGTGTTTTGTGTGGTAGACTTGGAGTAAGGAATTAGATCCTCCAACAAGCTCCACTGGTGTCCTCCAGTGCTCCATCTGTTGGACCCCTTCTGCAAATTGGCAGCAAAGCTTTCCATATTAACACAGCTAGGGGGGCCCATCAAAATCCCTTCAACTGGATAATGTTGAAGGATGAAAGTAGTGCTGTTTGGAAATATTACAAAGGCTTTATCTGTGGAGAGCTTTCAGAAGTTGAAGTGTTAATTCTTTTTACATGTATGTCCTTGTGAATGAGTCGCACCGGTATGCATCCGTATATCCGCCATCATGTGTTCATTTCCTGCTGCATTTTCTTTCCATGCACTGGTATTTGGAAACTCACAATGTCACAGGTCCCTCCGTAGCTTCATGTGTGGTATTGGTATAAAGTTTCTTTATTAGAACTGTGCAATAATTTCTTTTTAAGTGACTTTGGACAGTTTAATTGTCAGAGTTATTACAACTGCTCTTCTGTGTCAAAATTTTCACGCCAAGGTCTTGAGTTAATGTACATGTTGACTTGTCTTCTCTGTCAAAATGTTCACGCTAAGGTCTTGAGTTAATGTACATACCGACTGGTTCCAATCCCTTCAGCCCAAATACTGTTTCTTTAAACATGGGGCTAGACTGCGTAAAGAGTTACGTCATGTTACTGTGTTGTGAATTTTGTTGCCTTGAAGAGGATTTTATAAAAAATACTTAGGGAGGGAAAGTTAAAACACTTGTGAAGTACAAAAAATAGTTAAAAAGTTCAGGCAAGAGTTTCATTAACTTGAATTTGGGGACTACTGTAGTTATGTTTCTTCCATTTTTATAACTGATGATTTGGTATGCTGGGCCTACATTTCTCAACCACTGAGATATTCCCGTGCCCTGCAGTAAAATAAGTCTGGGAATTTTGTCAGCTCTAAATGTGTACTAAGGAAATTAACCTGTAAAGATTGGTGTGGTATTTGTTTTTGAAAGTTTTTTATGGGAGGGGCTAAAACAGAAGGTCCGTGTGTGAAGAAATGCATAATGTCAAAGTGCCTTGCTTAAGAAGTCAAACATCTATGCATACGAACAAGTGCCTAATGTTAGATTATGTGAATTGCTCAGAGGGTCACCATTGTTGATAACTCCAAGTGCCTGAAACATCCATCCAATGCACCATATGCAGCAAAGTATGAGACGGAGAGAACCCCCCTGCTTTGTGTTGGTCATTGTCTCGCAGGAATCTGGGGAATTCCTTTCAGACACCTTGGGGGGATGTGTTAGGTAACAATAGTCTGGAATGTGTATAGGGATTGGACATGTTGGGGGGTACCCCTCGGTCTCATTTCTTGCTGGGTATCCAACACACATAGGAACATACTCAGGTGGATTTTCTGATTCCTGTGAAGATAGCACTGGCAATATTCAAGTAGTTCTTCACAGGTTCAAGGATCCCATTTTTGAGCCATTGGTAGCACATGTACTAAAAGCAAAGATGGGATTTGTAAAAATGTGTAATGAATTTTGAAACAATTAAAATTCCAAAGGAAAGACGTCTTCTTTGTCTGTATTTGTACACTTTCTTTTCACGTGTTAGCTTTTCTTTTTTTTCCTGAAGAGGGCAAAGTATATTCACATACAACAGACCTGTGACAAGATGTCATGCTTTATTTACGTGTGCGCTATCCTATGGCAATGAGGTGGGACACCATCCATGGAACTCTTTTTGGAAAGCGCACTTGTAAACAGAGTGACCTTACTGTACTTTAGGTCTATCATAACTTGAAAGGACTGTATGGTAGGTGGTTAAGGTTCACTACCAGCGACCCTTAGGGTAATCAATGAGGTCATGGTTGGCACATCGACAAGTCATTCCAACAACCGCAAACCCTCATCTTGTCTCTTTTCACTTGTAACCCTAATGATCCCACACCAGCCTAACTCCAACACCACCAGGGTTTGTTGGAATCTGTAAGGACGAGTACCGTACTGGTAAACTGACCGTCTTATATGGGGTTAGGCATACCATTACTAAACAGAGTTCAACTGGTTACATGCAAATTACATGGCGTTGGGCTTTATGAGGATGGTCCCTGGTCAATCACTCTAGAGAGTTGGGGTTAATAGGCACTGGCCCAGACAAATCCTGGCATACAGTCCTATACATCATGAATGACCCTGAATGAAGCATTGTTCATGTGCCAATGCGGGTGATTCGCAATAGTGCACCTTGAGTTTACAACGCCTTGACCAATCACAGTGCACAAAATCTGCCGACCATTTCCAAATACACATTGGGTCGACAGATTTCACGCACCGTGATTGGTCGACACGTTGCAAACTCTTGGAGGCGCACTATTGTGAATCACCCGTATCCATCCCGGATATCTTCCAAAATAATTTGCCTCATTATAAAACCATTAACCCTAACCATTCTGAACCCAACAAGCATATGCATAATTTCAATGAACCCTAAAAGGACTTTCATGAATGTACACACAGACAACAGGTGACAAGTGCCCAACTGATTCCTGGATGCACTGTCCAGTATGGTTAGGTTTTATGTATGAAAGCATTGGCCAGAAGTTGTGTGCCCTTTCAGCATTCTAGCAGTAGCACAATCCAATCCGCCCCGAGCTGAAGTGCACCCTCACTGGCAGAAGAAAGACGGACCGTACAAAGTTTTCCCAACCCGGTTATTGTACACATTCGGCATGCACGCGAACATACATGTACATTCCACACTAAATTTGTTGCATGTACTCAACGTGCCCCACATCAAACGCGAATAAACTTGAGCGCCTTTACCATGAGTGCGTACCAAAAGGGCTGTCACTTTCATTTAAAAATACCCCCTCTTTTGTTCCCGCTCGGAGTGGATATGAAAGCTACAGGGTGAAAACCAAAGGCGAGTCGGTGCATGACATGTTCTTGCTCAGCAATTTATCTCTTGCAATTTGTCAACAGAGTGCAATTTGATGATTGTTAATCTCTGGACAGGTTCACACTGAGTGTGATATGGAGCCAGGCCATGTACATGAATAATGAACGAATGACAAATGAAATCTCAAAACCATAATTTTATTTGCCTTGAGGCCTCCGTTCTGCCAAGTTTTGATCCCCGAGTGAAGACCCTTCAACAATCTGCATCTTGCTTGTCTGTTGCAAAGGCATCTAATACAACTACATGTGTAAGTTTTAAGACAAATTCTCTGACAGTTTCCACGACACACACGACACCTATCAGTACCCTGGATCTCGTCAAAAACTGAGAAAGGGGCAATATTGGGAGAGGGCCAAGTTCTGCCACTGTGCCTTATTCGCTCTAGGTCTCAAGCCCAGTCTCTAACAAGGAAAGGACCACAGTTTGGATGTATTATGTCATGTAAAAAATGAAGTAAAAATACAGGTATATTCCACCATGGGCGCTGCTGCTGTTTTTGTGTGACTAGGTTTTGGAGGTTTTGATTTCTAAGTAGCATCACTGATGCTGACCGGATACTTGTGAATTAAAGTTGAGTGCTGGAACTATCTTTCAGGTAAAGGTTTTATTTTTCAAGGACATGAAATAAAAACAGACACACAAAGTCTACTTTATCTCTCCGTCAGCGCTGCTTTATTCGAGTGAAATATTTCTTTCTGAAATCTTTGAACTCGTGTTAAAAATGGTTTTTGTTTGGACAGCCTTCGGGCAGCCTGTGATGTTTTTGGAAACTTCCAAAGCGACGAACAGAAATTGAAGAATTTCCTTCAATTCTAACAGCTCCTCATAAACAGTGTGCAAAGCTGATGGGAATTCATAAAGTGATTACTAAAGCAGCCAAAATGTCCCAAGGGTGTGTCCGACATGTGGGCTTCATTTGGGGTGTACATGCCGATAGAGGGCGGTGTTTGCTGATGACATGACCCTGTTGCTCTAATGTGAGGCTCCCTTCATCTTGGTCTGCACCTGGGCAGCGATTCTGTCCATGTCACGAATTCCCTGGCTGGTCAAACGACGTCCACTATACAGAGAAAAAGAAAGTGGAAAAACAATTGATTAAAGATGGCAGAATCCACACCCTAGTAAAGCGGCAGGTACGTGGCAGTAATGTTAGTTCTTATCCAGTACCATGATCAATGCATCAAAGTCCACAGTATCAATCAGCAGCATTTTCTCATCAGCTGACACGGAACTTCAATTTTGCTGCATTAATTGTAGCACAGTGCCAGGAGAAGCCACCTCTCCTAGTGGGGTGTTGAAGAAATTGCTGATACTGTACAAAATGCCTCATTTCTTGCCACTGTTCATTTTCTTCTCGGGAGATTTTGCTTTGGCAGTGGGGAAATTCTTGACATTTAAATTCAACAGTACCTGACGCAAAATATTTAACCAGGTGACCACTCAAGCAAGCTCAATACAGCAGCAACGTGTAACTGGGGTAAACTTTCCAAAGAGGCATCCATGGTTTCACACACTTCTTCGAGGGAACCCGGAGAGCAAATTTGGTGAGGTTGGCACAAATTAAAGGTTGTGTAGATGTGCATGTACATTTCAAACTTTCTGACTCTTACTCGGACCGGCCAGCTGACCCCGGCAAGCTTGGTGGTAGAGTGGTTAAGACGTCTGCACGAGTCCCACGCGAGTAAGCTTGAGAATTCAACAATTTCACAAGTTCTCGTACAAACAGCAAGTATCCAGTTGGTGTAAGGGCAAAACGCATTATTAAAATTTGTACGTGAATTTCCCCCTTCCCTCAAAAAAAGGGGGGGGGGGTTGCTTCAAACATAGAAATTTGCAGATGCACATAAAAAGTTGTAGTCTGGTATTGTCAAAGATCTCACACTGGTCGACTCCTTACAACCCGGCATGATTGACAATAATACCCTGTGGGTGGAACGCTGCAAGGGATTCTGGGTAATGAAGAACTTCAACATTCTTTAAGATGATAACAAGAGCAATAAGTCACTCATCTCCTTTACGGCCTAAGTGAAACATGACGTAACATACTGCACAGCTCTTGTAAGAACATTGAGGTCAGCATCACCCACGAACAGGAGCTCACAGGTAAGTTGTTGCCTGGTCTTTGTGAGAGCCTGACGATGTGCAAGGTGGAGCAGATTGCCAAGACTTGTTGGTAACGGTACGTTAGCACTCACTCGCAGTGACACGGTGGAGTCATTACCGATACTAGAAGTGGCTTGAGATGAGTGTACCATTTGAATGGACTTGAAATAAAAACAGACGGGCAAAGTGTAAATTGTACCTCACTATCAGTGCTGCTTTATTCAAGGGCAATATTTCCAAAATCTCAAGACCTTGCGTTTAAAAATGGCTTTAGCTTGGACCCAATCGAGAAAATCTGAGCAGGTATTTGTGGAATCGCAGAAACAAAGTGAGTGAAATTAAAGAAGATTTCAATACTGATTGCCCATAACATGCTGTCTACAAGGCGTATGTACGACAAATGGTTACTGATGTACGCATAGACCGATCCGGTGACAAGAATCAGGAGCCATTACTGCGGTTTCTCCACTCACATGAACAAAGGGGTGCACATTGAATGCCTCCTCATCAGCCAATGGGAGCACACTGCTGACCCAAATCACCTGCTTGTCAAGCCAAGGAATGCGCGCCTGAGGGACGGGGGACACCGCAGTAATGGCGTCAGCGAATTGGTCAATACTGGCATTTATGTTCTAAGGTTTGTCAACTATAATCTGCGGTCTGTATGTCTTCACGCTCAAAGAGGACGATGTTGGCTGAGGTCACTCAGGCCACGACCCTGTTGTGCGTCTACGGTGAAGTTCCCTTTGCCTTGCTCAACACCTGGGCAGCAATATGGTCCATATGCTTGATTCCCTGGCTGGTCAAACGACATCCACTACAACAAAACACAAAGGATGAACAAGTGGCTCAACCCTCAACCTGCTCTAAGCAGCAGCGGGCAGAAACGTTTCCGTTGACAGATTTGGTGTTCAGCACTAGAGACAAAGTGAACCTGCGACGCCATACATGTATGGTGGTGGAGTTGGGTAGCTTGATCGCCATGACACATGCTTGGGTGAGACAACAATTACGACTGGTGTTGGGTGCTTCGAGGGATTTTTACAAGCGGGTGGTTCCATTTCCGTGAAGAAGGTCATCAGGGAAAAGAGAATGAATAAATGGCCGTTTTCCAATACTCAACTTCGGCTCCGTCTCGGGCTTCAACTGTTTTTTTACTAGCCGACTTTGAAGCTGTAAGCGCAGTAATCAGTCTAATAGTGCCACAGAACATCAAGTAGGATTCAAGAAAGCCAAAAATTATAGTAATCCAATGTAATCTAAACGCTTCAGGCCCACAATCGGGGACTGGTTTTGGGAACGAAGCCTGAGACGGAGACGAAGTTGAGCATTCGAAAACGGCCAATGAACTGCAGCTGGAGGTTCTCATATAGGGGCTGCATCCGAATCTCTTGTCTAGAGCTAGGTCTAGGTCTTCACTCCATAGGAAATGTGTGGAGACGCGTAGACAATAGACCTAGCCGTAGCTCTGGAAGCCCGTTTGGGACACGGCCTAGGTCTAGGTCTTCACTCCATTGGAAATATGTGGAGACACAGAGACAATAGACCTAGCCGTAGCTCTGGAAGCCCGTTTCGGACACTGCCAGAGTTTGGCATCCAATTTCAGACACCGCATGACCATCTGAGCTTTTCGCCAACGGTTTGCAAGATAACAAGCCCATCAGTAGCCACTGAAGGTGAGGGTTAAATGTGGGAGTTCAACTGGAAAGCTGGATGAGATATAACGGCAGGGCGTGTCATGTTGAAACGATGCTTATTCACTCTGTGTGTTGTAGGCATCTGGGAAGTGGGATGACGATAACGAATTCCAGAGCAAAGCAGTACGTAGGAAAAACTGGTAGAGTACATCTTGGAATCGTCTTTGGGAATGGTGATGGTACACGGATGTGACTGGATAGAGAAGTGACAGGTACTGTGACAGTACGATTCTGGTGAACAAGCGAATGGTGTTGGAATATAATGAGTGCAGGCCGTGGTCTTTGGTACACATCCTGGAGTCTGGCCTTGGAATAGTCACAGACCTACTCACTGGACTCTTGCATGAACAGGAATGAGAGGAAAGGAAGGTTGAGTTGACCGTGGGTGCAGGGTGGTTTCCGGCACAGACCCTGGCCTTTTGCTTTGAACAAGTCGCATATGGGCTTTTGCATGAATGTGAATACAAGTGCATCGATAGTAGGTGGAGCAGGGCTTCAGGTGTTGGTTGCCGGAGTCACTTTTCATTACGAAGTTAAGAATTCACACGTGGATATACCAAGTTCTTGTACAAATATGAATGAATGAATGAACAGCCGGTGAAGCTACACGTAGCTCTGGGTCTTACCATCAGCTCAGCTATGAACCAAGGTTTCTGGCTCTGAACAAGTCCAGTGTTGCTCTAGCGAACTCGTGCAGGACCATATTAAAATAATGAGCCTCGCAGCTGCAGCAGGCTTTACGTTGGGTGCTGCATGCTGCTCTGATACGAACTCAGGGTAACTGGTTCCAAATGAGCGGTGGATATAACGAGCTCTTGCATGGACTTGAGCGGAGATTGGCTCCGTGTGCTGGCTCTTGATGCTGAGATCAGCTCTGACGGAGCAGGCATGGAATGAGGTTTGCATGAATCTATGAGGATCTCGCTTGAACATGGGTAAGTCCTCGGAACTGCAGAAATCTCTCTAACTGTAAAAACCTTGACAGCAACCTGATGTACACTAGACAAGTCAACTGTTTCAAAAACTGTTCCCATAACCAATTAACACCAGAGGTTACGTAGCCAGGAATGAACTTCTACAATGGTTTCACCGTTTCACATAACCGACACAGCCTCAATGACCGAGTGGTTATGTGAATATACAGTAAATTCCGGCTAAGTCGGCACTCTCGGGACTCAAGAAATTATAACGACTTACACGGATGCCGACTTGTGTTGTAAGTTGTCATTTTGCTGACTTACACGTACACATGTATTGCCTATGTACATTATGATTCCTTGGACTAATTCAACGGCTTTGATTTACCCTGGTTTATTTCTACCTCCATGGTCGATCCCAGCAAATTCATTCTCAATTATTATCCTCAAGGGCTGCAAATTCAATAAATGATCATGTGCCCCTACAGACAAAGCAAGGAAGGCAAGCCACTTGCATATTACATCACGACTTGACAGTGCAAGCACGTATGTACTGTACATGTATGTGATACACTTATGGTACAGAAAACATACGCTCATCTGCACACGCATTGGTTAAATTCAATATAGTCTGGATACCAGACCCGATGATTCTGACTACCCGATGAATCATTATTAAGGGTCGTCAGGGAATCTTTGGGCGGGGAACCAGACTACGTTCAATAAGGCGACCCCTAAAATGGACAGAGCGCATGCGTGTAGCACTAGAGGGGTTACTGGTACTGATGTACTCATGCTGACCGATTATCAATCACAGCCTGTGCTGCTAATAAACAGACATCAGTCAAGCAGTGTGGGGCTTGTCACTTCTTGGCAACCACGGCGAAGGAAACCGATACCGAAGCACGATTTTTTTAATGCCGACTTACACAAAGGAATTTTTGTGGTTCTGTGGAAAAAGGACCGAGAAAACACGCCGACTTATACAAAATGTCGACTTAGAAATGAAATTTTCAATGGAAATGCATCACAGACGATCAGGACTTTTATCAAAAGGCCGACTTAGAAGATATGACGAGTTACGCGATGCCTACTTAGTCGGAGTTTACTGTATACACATTTTTTGGGGGGGGGAGTCGAGTACTACCCAAGTAAGCATGAGAGATTGTTTTTGTTTTTGGTGGGTCCTGCAATGCTAACATGTATTAAATGCAACTCAGTGACAGGAGAAGTCTTCCTTCCACTTCTCATTATTTCGAACCTTCTTGGAATCATTTCACTTGATCCCCTATCAATGCAGTTGTTGTCTCACCTGTTACCCTCGCGCTTGACGATGTTGACTCCTTCCAGAGCCTGTAGGACCTTACGGGCCACGGACCCTGACCCCTTGCAGAAGTGGCTCGGTCTGGTGCCACGTCGCTTGCGACCTGACACGCAAGTAATAAAATAAGCAAACCATCTCTTGAATTTGCACAAAACAGTCCAAAATTATTCTCAAAGAAACAAAAATTGCGGGAGAAGGAATTACGGTTTTCCTTCGCAGCACCACAACAACAGAACTAATTTTTTTACCCTAACCATTCCCAATCCACCAAGTGGTTTTGGAAGACTTTGGAAGATTGGCACTGAATGGCAGAAATGCGAGGCTGATTTTGAAGGGTCGCATTGCGTCAAGGTCTCGGGCCAGACCATGCGTCGTTTATGCAAATTCACACACAAATTCAGACCGCGATCATGTTTCATATCATCCAACACTGCTGCAAGGTATCATTTTTACCTCGTCTCAACATCATGATCAGATTCAAGATTTTCAAGGATGGAAGCGGCGGTCACCCCTCCAAGATCACCCCTCCAAGATCACACGCAAAAACAAATAATGGTAGATTTTGGAGGATTGACGTTTAATGCAACATTTATCGCGGGGCAGTTGCAGGATGCACCCTAGATAATGAAACCGCGGTAACCAATGACCAGATTCATAACCAACCACTCTGCCTAAAATTTGCCTTCAATATATTGTAATACATCCAGGTATCCCAAGATATCCTAGTAGTACAGTCTGCTTCAGACATGTTTTTCTTCAACCAGGTACGTATTACCCAGACACAATCATGTACAGCAGTTATGACACTGTTTTCTAAACTGATGCAGTCCGTAAAGCATTTAGCCGATATTGGATATCTACGGGAAGCTCTCTGCTCTACACGGCTGTGCTATGCCCTGTGGAATCATATCGATCACAAGTACGTGGAGGTAACAAGAAAGAATGTGTTCACGTTTTTCCATAGGGAATGAAACAGAATGAAAAGCTGTGCTTGGTTATCAGAAATGCTGTTGGAATTGACCAACCCAGAAAGCCCTGTCCACTGCGTACATATGCACTTAACACATGTTCCTCCCCAGCGCCACACTTTCTGATCCACCTACCTGCTACATACCCATTTGCACTTCATGATCCATCTACGTGCTACATATCCATTTGCACTTCATGATCCATCTACGTGCTACATACCCATTTGCACTTCATGATCCATCTACGTGCTACATACCCATTTGCACTTCATGATCCATCTACGTGCTACATACCCATTTGCACTTCATGATCCATCTACGTGCTACATACCCATTTGCACTTCCTGATCCACCTACATACAACATACCCATTTGCACACCTACCGGACACATACCACAGGTCAATTGATCAGAACATAACGGGGTGAGGCTTATTGGATAAGTCAGTGGGAGAGGGGGGACGGAAAATTGGAAAAAAAGAAAAAAGTGCGACAGCAATTTTTCTCTAGGGTATTGGTATTCGTCAAAGCTTTAATCTGAAGGCATCAGATGTTACCGAAGTCCAGATCTGTTAACAGAGTTGCAACATGAGTGTCTCAATTACTGGGACCAAAATGGTGGCTTATGCATCACACACACAATAGCTGCATGCTGTACTGTCCATAATGTAAGCAGCCATATTGGTTCCCAAGTCTGAAGTTGGCACTTCTCTTTAGATAAAGTGCTACCCAGATCATCCCGGAAGCACAGTCCTATCACAAATGTCGTTTCCAGTCTCTCGGGACTTACCTCCGTAGATTTTCCTCATAGCGTTCACACCAACTCCTCCGCGGAAGTACAAATGTCTGGCAGTCGAAGCTGCGTGGTCCAGAATAAACCGAAAGCATGTGTCAAAACCTGCTGCAATGTACGCTGCCCAACTTGGAAAATTGTACATGGATCGACTATTTCAGTTTGGGAGGGGAAAAAACTTAAAGGAACTGGCATTACGCACTCTCTAGCCTTCTCCGGCTTCATACATGTAAAAGCAAGGGTTCCTGCTGTTCAAGGGTCTTTCTATGCCATTATATCCACAAAATTTATAATGCCCTGCCAATGTGAAGTGATTGAGGTCCGTTGCAGGTCTAGATACAAAAACTGACTTGAATAAAAATGTACAAACCTGGGTATTTGTATCATTTTTCTGAGTCTGTAGGGATTTTCTGCTGCCCCAAATGTGTTTCTAATCTTGAGATTTTTTGACTTGGACAAACATTTGAATCAACTGCCACTTAACCCCCCTTCAAGGCTGAGGTCTTATTTGATACTGCTTGTATAAACGTACCTCAGCTGCCTCCCTTAAAATTCTTTCATCTACACTGTACCAACAGTACTTATGCATGGTAACACTAATCAGTGTCACTGGATTAGAAGGAGTCCGGGCACCAGACACAGCAGACTTACCAGCTCTGGTGTAGAACCAGTCCTGATCAGTTGGCGCCAGCTCCTTGTGTTTGCCCAGCTTGACCAGGTCCACCCAGTCCGGCACCTTCATCTTGCCGCCGGACTTGAAGAAGGCCGCTAGGGCCTTGACAAACTCGCCTTGGTCCACGTCTTTGACTGTGCAACCCCCTCCTGGCATCTGCCATCAACACAAATGTTAGAAGGTGATCAACCAAGTATGGAGTACACTAACCATCAAACCAACTCTAAATACCAAGTTCATCTTGATGCTACATGTACATGGAAAGCATGTGAGAGCCTTGACATCTATTTAGATGCTTGGAAGAATTAGTGTGCTTTAGACAAAACAAAAAAGTATCCCAAAAAACAAAATAAATCTTTCTACCACACTCTGTTCGTGGGAGGTAACCATCAGAGGTTCTGGACTCATACAGTGTGTGTTCTACTGCAAAGCCATGAGTGCAATGGATACTCCCTGTTCATGATACAATACATATAATGTGATACACAGGTCACAAAACAATATACATCCCAACACATACCACAAACCTGCGTTGTAGATGCATAGTTGCCCGTTTGGCATACCTACATGTACATGTACAATGTGTGTGTATATAAGCGTGTCTTATAAACTAAACTTTTCTGAACATGTTTTTGCTTTCTGATGGCTGCTGTTAAGTCACTGTCAGAAAGAATTACTGGCGTCCCTGTATGGAACTCTTCCCATTAATCCCTAGAGACTTAACAACAACCATCAGAAAGCAAAAACATGTTCAGAAAAGATTAGTTTATAAGGTACATAGGTATGTACAAACATACTGCGCGCGCAACCTCCGAAAGGTGCCCACACAGGTGTTAGCCCGATTCTCTGCCGGCAGAAGGTTTGTCCGGATTTCGCGCTGCTGATTGACTGTTGTGAGGAGTCTTGCCGACAAATTAATGAATATGTAATGTGAAAAACACGAAGTTTATGTTCGTTTTTGAAATTTTCTGATCAACCTCCAGGAAGTGCCATTACGGTGTCTCTTAAGTTCGAGCTCGAAATTCCGCCCAACTAATCCTGGTTTGTAACAAAGCGTTGTCATTTTAAAGTGAATCATTGTGAAACATAACTCTTGAGCTGTAAGTGGTAGTAATTTGACAAATTCTGAACCTTTGAAGAAGTGTTTTTTTTATCGGACTACAGGGTGTTAAGTCCCATGTGGTGCAATCGCGTTGTGCACGCCATCTTGCCGTGATCAACAGTATATAGAATAGCCTATGTTCAATGTGTCTCACACTTGACACAATTCATCAAAAATGTGGCACTTAGCCCTATGACCAATGATATGACATTTGTAAACAATAATATAATATGACTTTGGCACATGCTGGGCACATCATGCACACAGGACCTCTCTGCTGTAGTTGGGCAGGCCCAACTGTAGCACTCTAGTTGGGACGGGCCCAACTATAGTTGGGACGTAACACATACATGTATACAGATTACACGCAATCACAATGCAACACACGGCATATGCAGACATGCCCATGGCCGACCACGCTTTGCGCTTGGCCGCCATGTCGGCAAAGTGACTCTACTTTTCAAGGCTAAAATGTCCCCCTTTCTGATTAAATCCAATTTACTGAGACATACACTTTGAAAATTTGCGAATTAAACATTACGATGTCAAAATTATACTGGTTAAAACTGGCTACAATGCCTAATTAGGGGACTTTTTCATAGAGACTTCGCAACCCTCATTTACCTTTGACGGTTTTGTGGGGAAAAGAGGGCGCATGTGCAATCCCGTTCTCCCGGCAGGATATGATCTCGCGAGACTTGAGGTTGAAAGAGCAAATGCTATCGAAGAGGGCGCTATTATGTGAAATAAGCTTGTAGTGGTGATCTCGGGAGCATTCCTCTATGATGTTTGTGATCCCACGGGTTAGGCCTACATTATTTGCAATAATATACAGGCGCCATGATCGGGAGGATCATAGAGATATTTCTGAATTGTTTAACTGTTGCGGTTAATTCAGATAGAATTGTTCTATTTAAAAAAAAAGTGGCCCGCTTAATCGGAAGTTTAATTTTGTGCAGCGTGACGTGGTCACAATCAACCCAAGTGAAAGTGCTAATGATTTATGTACATAGCAGTGAGCGCGTCAGGCGGGAGGATACATCATACCAAAGACTACACGCTTTGCTACTACAGTACCCAACTTAATTAAGTAACTAAAGGAACAAATATGCGCTTGGCCGGTCTTTAAACATGAGTCTAAGACCAGTTCAGGAGAATGGACGCGACCAATCCCCTCGCCTTCGGCTCGGACATTATCAGTGTTCGGTCACCGGCCAAGCGGATATTTACTCTCATTCATAAATACCTTTTTCGTCAGAGAGTCAAAAGAAGTCAATACATGATGGATTTCCAACGATTTTGTTCTTGAGTTTTATTTTCATTTTCCCGAACATGGTATATTCCATTTACAAGTTGTCCAAAAGAATCCCCTTATATGGATTTGGCGCCCGCGTGGCGAGCTCTGTGCACAAAGACTCTTAACCAATCAGAATCGATTAAACTGTCTTGTATCCAGATGCCAGTGCATGATTTACACAGTGGGCATTATTACTTCTCAGCAGGGAGACTTTCTGATGTGTTAATGAATTAATCTTTTTTAAAGTTCGGCGCGGCAATATTACGGTGTTGAGCGCCAATTCGGCCAGGCCGGCCCAATCTGTACGGGAGGCCCTTTAGCTCGACAGGGTGTGCCGCGGGTAGCACGATACTTGCCAATTGCAATAGCTTCAAGAATTTGAAAGCGAAATTGGGAATTAAGTAAAAACTTTGAACAGGAATTGGAATAGCTCATATCATTATAGGGTCGTCATGAGAGTCAGTATTGATTCAGTGTAGTTACCAACTTTATTCGAAAGAACGACTGAGAAGGTTGCAATAGAATTGTAAGCTAAGTGACTGAATTGGAGAATGAAAAGCAGACTACCATACTAATATTGAAC